AGTATCTTCTGTTCTTCTAGCCACTCCAGGCTGGTCTGCTTGTCCTTTCCAGTGGGAATTTCCCATCTCTGGAGATCTGGATGTGGTTCAGGCTTCCAGCACTACGACATTTTTTTCAGCCTTTTAAAACTACTTCTTTTTTTTTTTTTTTCAGCCTTTTAAAATGGTGGAAAGCACTCTTCCTTTGTGGGCCATTCAACAACAGGTGTGGGCCAGATTTGGCCCCTGGGTTGGCAGACCCCTGCTCTAGCATGTTCCTCTGATAATGCCATGCCCCAAACACAGCCATTCCGTGGCTCCGTGAGTCCAGCACAGCATTAGGCAGAGTTCCTGCTAGGTCACGTTGGTTGGCATGCTAGGCCAGCAGCTTGCCAACCAAGGACCCAATTCCCAGGAGCAAGCCACGCTACTTAGAGAAAGGTTGGGCAAGCAATCCCTCCCCAGAAAAGAATATAAGAAGGATTCCTTAGGCAGAGCAACTCCTAGTCATGCAAAGTAACAAAGGACCACACTCTTGGCATTCTGGGTAACACAACTCAATTTACCACCGTCTCCTCCTACTACCTGTCTCCTTTGAGCAAGAAGATTCTCAACCATCTCATTTATTCCAAGAAGATACTAGTAGCGGACAGAAACCAGGCACAAGAAATCAAACACATACTGACACCAAGTCTCAGTGCAGTTAGTACCTTGAGGGCTGTAATGGATTGAACTGGGCACCAGAAAAGGCACCAGAAAAGTCCTAACCTCTGTTGTTGTTGTTATTATGTGCCGTGGAGTCGTTTCTGACTCATAGCGACCCTGTACAGGGTTTCCAAGGCTGTAAATCTTTACAGGAACAGAAAGCCTCATCTTTCTCCCACGGAACAGCTGGTAGTTTCGAACTGCTGACCGTAAGACTAGCAGCCCGATTCATATCCACTACGCTACAAGAGCTCCTCTGGTAGTTGTGACTATAATCTTGTTTGGAAATAGGATCTTGGAAGACATATAAATTAGCACTTGGTCACACTAGACCAAGGTAGGTCTTAATCCCATCTGAATGGAACACTTATAAAAGAGGAGAACGGGTCTGGAAACAGACACAGGGAAAGGATGGTCACGTGAGAACAGAAGCCAACACAGCTGCAAGCAAAGGAACGCCAAGGGCTGCCAGAGCTCACAGCAGTTAGGAGTAGTTCCTCTTTCTGAACTCTCTGAAGGAATCAACCTGGCGGAGATGCTGGCTTAGACGTCTAGACACTAGGACTGTGAGATGATATGTCTCTTTTCTTTACTACTTGGTGGACATTTGTTAGGGCAGCCAGAGAAAACTGCGACCTATTATTTCCCCCTTGTCTCCAGCAGCACCCAACACAGCATGGGACACATAGGAGAGGCTCAGTAACTGTCAAAGGCCTCTCTAAACTGTTCAAGAACAAAGATATCAGTTTGAGAACTAAGGTGCACCTGACCCAAGCCATAGTACTTTCAATTGCCTCATACGCACGTGAAAATTGAACAATGAATAAGAAGACCATAGAAGAATCAATGTATTTGAATTGTGGTGTTGGAAAAGAATATTAAAAGGACATGGACTGCCAGAAGAATAAACAAATCTGTCTTGGCCAGAATTCTCCTTGGAGGCGTAGATGGCAAGACTTCATTTCTCGTACTTGGAACATGTGATCAGGAGGGACCAGGCCCTGGAGAAGGACATTATGCTTAAGCAAAGTAGAGGGTCAAAAAAAAGAGAAAGATCCCCCACCCCAGGAGATGGACTGATACAATGACAGCAGCAATGGGCTCAAACGTAGAAATAATTGTGCGGATGGTGCCCAGCCAGGCAGTGTTTTGTTCTGTTGTACATAGAGTCGCTATGACCATATGTGCACAATACAAATATTGGTAAAAGCAAGTCAGATCAAATCTTATGCAAGTCCAGAGGAAGGGAATGTAAGCCCAGCTGAAGGCATCAAACAACCCAATACCATGGTGGTTGAGCTAGGCCTGGCAAGATGACTGGGTTGGGTGTGTACAGGTGGAACCCAGGGGAAAGGAAGGAGAGAGGAAATCCCAGCCAAAGGAAATAACTAGCAAGGGTCTTCTGCATGGTAGAGGTCAGAAGAACAAAAATGCCTTAGTTGTTGGTTCATATGTGCAGCTTGAGGAACAGCAATGAGTGCTAAGAGTTGAATGTCAAGTTGCAGCTACATCATTGAGAACCAAGAATGTCAGACAAAGGAGTTTCAACTTCCGTAGGGGGTGGGAAGAATGGAATCTTCTGAACAGAAGAGGTCAGGTGTCAATGAGACTTAGAAAACCAGCACGGAGGCAGAGTGAGGGCTAGAATGAGTAAGGGACCCATTTAGACAGGTCTACAAGAGTCCTGGTGTGGCACTGTGGGTTAATGCGCCAGACTGCAAAGCCGTTTGAACTGCAAGGTTGGCGATTCAAGCTCACCAGCTGCTCCTCAGCAACCCTATAGAGGGTTGCTATGGGTCGGAACAGCACTTCACAGCAACAACAACAGGCTATAGGATAAAACTCTGGACCATAAGGTCGGTTTGAACCACAACACTAGTGGTTCAAACTCACCAGCTGCTCCTTGGAAACCCCATACAGAGTCGCTATGAATCAGAACTGACTCAACAACACTTAATAACAACAACAACAAACCGTATGAGCAGAGTCCTGGTGTGGCGCTGTAGGATAAGCACTGAACTGCTAACCATAAGGTCAGTGGTTCCTACCCACCAACCATTCCTCGGAAACCCTGTCCAGGGTCTCTATGAGTCTGAACTGACTCGGCAGTAGACAACAGCAGGATGAACAATGCCACCAGGGAGATGTGCCCTCCTCAGAGTAACCAACCATGTAAGGTCAGAAAGGCAGCTTTGTCCAAGGATGAAGGTCAAAAGGCAAGAAGGGATAGGAAAGAAGCATGAATGGAAATGGAAAATATAGAGAAGTGGGAAGAATGCTATTGCATTGTGGGGAATTGCAACCAATGTCACCAAATGTACACAGTGTTGAATGAAAAACCAGTTTACTCTGTGAATTTTCAAATCACAATCACAAGTTCAAAGAAAGAAAGAAGCCTTCGACTAGGACAGAGACCAGCAAGTTGGACCATACCCTTATAGGAGCATAGGGTGGTCTGGAATGGAGAGAGATTTGCCAGTGATGGCGATTATGAATACAGATTGAGGAGTCAGCTACGCTGGGCTCAAACCCAGCTCCAGCCCCTACTCACTGTGCAATGGCCAATCCTCTCTGAGACCCAGTTTCCTCATCTGTAAAATGGGGTAGTAATAACACTGTTTCATAGGGTTTAAGTAGACGAAGTTACACAAATAGCATGCTTACCAAAGCGCCTGGCACAGGGCAAATGCTCAAGAAACATTAGCCATTAGTATCAAGATAGTTTTCACAGAAGTACCTTTAAAGCATTAGGCCAGTGTGTACTAGTAAAAATGCCCTTTGAGTGCTTAAAAAAAGCCCAAACCAGTGACCATTATTAAGTTGGTTGCAACTCACTGTTGTTGTTTTTATGTGCCATGGAGTCGGTTCCGACTCATAGAGACCCTGCACAGGGTTTCCGAGGCTGTAAATCTTTACGGGAGCAGAAAGTCTCATCTTTCTCCCGCAGAACAGCTGGTAGTTTCGAACTGCTGACCTTGCAGTTCGCAGCCCAATTCTTAACCACTACACTACTCATAGCCATTAGTTATTTCTCTCTGACCAGGGGTCAAATCTGCTGAGTTGTCAGGATGTGTATTTGGCTAGAGCAGCTTCATTTCAGCGGATGGGTGCGAGGGTAGGAGACAGCATTCTCCAGTCCCACAGCCTCCATCCATACCCTCCAAGTCCTGGGTGGCAGTTCCTTCATCTGTCCTCAGGAAGCTAACACACACCACTCCCCAAGGTCAGCTCAGGTGCAGAAACATACAGATCTACATATGGAGACCTTGGTCAGAAAGTCAATATGCCCTACAGACAACTCCCAGGCTGGCCCACTGGGAGAAGGGATCGTTGGCTCAGAGAATGAGTCTTTCTTGGATACCCAGGGGTGCAGCAAGGGATTCAAACAAGGCTGCTGATCAACAGTGAGTCCAGGAGCTCCTTAGCCCACCAAGTCTTTATTTTGGGGATTCCTTGTGCTCCAAATTTGCCCATCAGCTACTGACCTGTTGATGAGATATCAGCATCCTGGGAGAAAGCACAGATTTGGGGACAGTCTTGGTTCCCACGTAAACAAGCACATTTGTTAAGTGAGGCACACAACTTGATATGTGTCCGCACAAGCTGTAGCCCATTACAGTGCCTGGGACCTTGAGTTAAAGACACAAGAGGCTGGAACTCAGAGACCTGCCTGAAGTTTGCTTATCTGCTCACCCTCAGCACCTGCCGGGGATCTGCTCAGGAAGAAAAGACTTCCCTGGTTCCCAGGGCCTCTCCACACCCTGCCCAACACTTCTGGTGGGCTCTGCTTCACCTCTTTTTTGTCTGGGGGTCTTGGGGTATCCACAAAGGTAGACTCTCTTCTCTTGCCTGGCCCATAATTACCCTCCTCTCTCCCCATCCTTCTGCCAACCCACCATGCTTCATATCTCTGCTCTGAAGGAGATGGTGGCTGGTGGAGGAAAAGGCACTGTCCACTCCTGACCTGTCCAAAGCAAATGTCCTATTAGGTCCTTAGTCAAGCTTCGCTTCAAGCTCCGCCAAATCCCATGTACAGCTGCGACCCTATCTCTCAGGAACAAGAATGCTAGACCAGGGGCGCAGGACTGAGAGTAAGAAGGAAGAATACAAATGTGCTTCTATTCTCAGGGACTCTCTCGACACACCCCACCCAGCTTCCAACTCCTACATTTCCATCTGGTTGCTCCTGGCAACCAGGCAATCATATTTTCTCTAGTCCCAGATATAATCATCATAATCAATATAGGGTATTTATCCCACTTCTTAGTTTCACAAACCCCAAAGCTTTTCTCTTCTCAGATTCTTTCCTCGCTAACGTGGGGGAAGGGAAGGGAGGAGCTAGAACACTGTTTCTATTTCACAGACGCAAACACTGAGGTCAGGTGACAGTAGGCATTTCTCACAAGGAGAGAGAGCTGTTACCAGGAATGAGCCCCTGAGGGCCCATCACAATGAAGGCTGTGTGTTGCTGATGTTGTTGTTGTTAAGTGCCTTCGAGTCGATTCCGACCCATAGCGACCCTGTATAGGGTTTCTGAGGGTGTAAATCTTTACGGGAGTAGAAAGCCTCATCTTTCTCCCGCGGAGTAGCTGGTAGTTTCGAACCGCTGACCTTAAGGTTAGCAGCCCGATTCGTAACCACTACGCTACCAGAGCTCCTTGTGTGTTGCTGATAGAATTGTGATAAAAAAAAAAAATACGTGTTGGGACTCTAATCCTTGTTGTTAAGTGCCGTCAAGTCAGTTCTGACTCATAGCGACCCTGTATAGGGTTTCTGAGGAGCAGCTAGTGGGTTTGAATTACCGACCTTGTGGTCCGATGTCCAGTGCTGATCCTACAATGGATATGATCACCTTTGAGAATAGGGTGGTCCTTGTATTCATGATGCCATTGTCAGTGTAGGGTGTGTCTTAAACCTAAGACTTTTGAGACACACACAAAAAAACAAATTAGGCATGGTAGTGGTGGTGATGTGCTGTGGAGTCGGTTCCGACTCATAGCAACCACCTAAAACAGGGTTTCCAAGGCTGTAAATCTTTACGGGAGCAGAAAACCCCTATTTCTCCCACGGAACAGCTGGTAGTTTTGAACTGCTGACCCTCAGGTTAGCAGCCTGATTCGTAATCACTACGCAACCAGAGCTCCCTGAGTTAGACATGGAGGGCAGTAAACAAAATGGGGGAAAGAGAGATGTGGCAGGAAGAAACCCCACACAGAACGTGGAGAAGCAGCTGAGACAAGGACTTCCCCGACAGTGAACGAAGAAAGCCTTCCCCTTGGAGTCAGTACCCTGAATGTGGACTTCTAGCTTCCCAAACAGTGAGAAAATAAATATCTGTTCTGAAAGGCACCCCTTGTGACATTTCTGTTATAGATACGCTTTTTCTCACCTACTTCTTCCCTGTGAAGCAGGTTCATCTCACTCATCTTACAGATGGGGCTCTGAAGATGAAGCGACTCTAGCCCCACGTGAGGAATGGCACTTCAGAAACCTGAACTTGGGTCTTTTAGGTGGCTTTCTGTGGTTTTTGATTTTACCATTGGATCTCTGTAAGGAATGGCAATAGACTTAGAGATCAGTCCTGTCCTATCCATGCACTGTAATCACACGTCTGTAACGCACACCATTCTACCAGCTGATCCTACAAAAGTAATTCTCTCTGGTTCTGGGTGACACTCATGTCAAACAGTGACAGTGACAAAAATGACTTGCTGACAACACTTGACTAGACTGGAAAGCTTAGAAGCTGTATCTCTCATGTCCAAAATTCTATGAACATTCCCCCACCAAAGCACAAAATGTTCAAAGGAAAATCCATTTTTTTTGTCTGTGACGTCATGCATCACTCTTGACAAGTATGTGATGTTACCTGTTACTCCCACAACTGGCTCGATGTCACCTGTTTACGCATCTTAGAAACTAAAGAGATACAAGGCAGGGCCTCTGTGTCCCTGGGGTGGATGACGTACATGAAGCGTCCGTCCTCAACACTCAACAAAGTCTTGGTGTCCAGCTTTAGAGACAGTGTTAAAAACGGGCCGCTGGAGGTTGGTTGTTGTTAAATCCATTGAGTCACTTCTTAATCATAGCAACCCTGTATAGGGTTTCCAAGGGATAGCTGTTGAGTTTGAACCACCGATGTAGCGGTTCAAACCAACCTTGAGGTCAAGTTCTTATCCTACGGTGCCTAAAAGGGAACATGTGTGTCCAAGGGCAGGGCTGTTGCAGAAATAGGATGTTTTTCTGAGTCTTATGCACAGTTTTATTTCCTTTTGGAGACCGTACAAATGCAATTCAAAGATGAGAGAGTTCTGGTTTGTTTTGGGAATACAGTGAATGGAATATCTTCTAATCTTTTGCTATCTTCCTAACTTAAGTCCTGGTGTAATCTGTAGGATTGGCACTAGACTGCTCACCACAGAGTGGGTGGTTCAAACCCACTAGCCACTCCTCAGAAACCCAGTACGGGGTCGCTATGAGTTGGAACCAACTTGAGGACTCATAAAAACAACAGCCTCTTAGAGTGATGTAGTTTACTGGTTGGAAGGAGGGGCCTCCACATGGGATAGCTGACCTGTGACTGCCCAGGGAGACAAGAGGGCTTGGGCCAGCCCTTGTTTTCTTGCTGGAGCTGTTAGCTAACTGAACTCTAGAGAGATTTATCTTCTCTGGAAAATCCCTTGCTACTCTCATGAAACTCAGTTGAGCCGGCAAAAAGTGGACAGTTAACACAAAAGTGCCCCAAAGCACAGGCCAAGGAAACACAGAAGGAAATGTTGGGAGGTCCCTAGTGATGTCAGTGACCATTGCCATTCAGTAAATGGAGGCTTGTCCAGCACCTACTAGGGGCAATTATTCTGTAACCACCTCTCCCTGGGCCTCTGACCCAGACTGGCTGTCCGCACCACACAGACTGACCATAAGGACATTACCTTGGTTTCCACCACTTGTCTCTCCTCCTATACAGCCTCCCATTCTCCATGCTCAGCGCCTTCCTCAGCCTCTGACTGGACACTCCCAGCATGGATTCTCAGTGCTCTCTGTCCGTCACAGTGTGTACCCAATCCCAACTCCGATGTCCTGGCCTCTTAGGGCACCCATATTGCTTGTCATTGGGACCCAGCCTAATCTTGGGCTTAGCTGGCGTCTCTGATATGTTGATCCCCAGCTGTGATGGTGGGCGGCAGGAGGGGTAGAAATTCAGCAAGGCCCAAATTTAGAAGGTGAGGCTCTCTGAGCACACATCAGCGGGGGCTGTTCCTAGGGCCATGCTTTTCCAACACGGGCTTATGATAAATCCTCAACAATAATTCTTTCCTTAGTAGAGACACCTGCTCCCTTCCAATGAGCTTGCCATCTGCTATCTCTTTTTAGCCTCACGACATTTGTAGGGTACAGTTGGATCAGGGGACATGGCATGTGGAGACACTGAGGCACACAGCCCATGAATTATGCTATTTCTGGGCACACAGCAACACACTCACAACCTCTCTCTCTGAACACCTTGAGCTAGCTCCATGACCTGGCGTGACTTTGACCAGGTGTAGGGGAGTTCGAGGATTAATCTCCTGGATAGATGAGACCCTGGAGTCTGTTCCCATTCCCATGAAGACTTTTCACCGAGAATGAGGAATGCGTGTCCGGAGACCATGCACCCCTCACAGATGCTCTGCTGCAGGTTACACTGAGCAGCCGGCAGGCCTGAGGTACAGCTCCCACCTGCTATCTCCCCAACCCTGCCCCACACACTGAGGGCCTGTCTCCAGCCTCAGTCTACACTCTGGCCTCTGGACACACCCCCCTGCATCTCTGGGATTGCAAATGGAAGTATGAGTGTCTGGCCTAGGCTTTCTAGTCACCCAGGGCCAAGTCTTCATCCAATAGGGTGGCCTTAGTGGGAAGACTGCCTCCAGGCTGTCCCAATCTGCAGCTCCTGGGTCTTCACTGGGACCACCAAGTTCTGCCTAGTGCTTACCAATAGCCCCAGAGGGAGACCAAAGAAGGAAGGAAAATAACCAAGGTGGGGAGAGGGGAGAGATTCTGAAATCTGGCCAACATCAAGAGCCTGTTTCCATGACAACCACTCCTTATTACAGTTGCTCAAACTGCAGCCTGTTGTCATCGGTACTGCCTATGGATCCTTGTCAGACTTGAGGGGGCTTCTGTCCGGGCCTGGCTCCCCATTCAGAGACAACCAGTCCTTCCAATGACCCCCACTGCCTACCATCGGAGGAGCATGGAAAGGAAGGGCCTGGGTGTGACATACAAGAAGCTGCTGGAAGGAAAGGGAGAGAAGGAATATGGAGGGGCAGCCGAGACTTGAGTGGGAGGCCGAGACTGAAGCAGCGTGGGTGTTGTCTGCAGGTCGCGACGCCTGGGTGTAGGGTTGTCTGTGCTGTGGTCACCTGTATCTGCACCTCTGAGTCTCCACACAACACAAGACGGTCTTCAGCAATCCTGTGTGTTGTGCCAATTGGCCCAGCTCCCTTCCCGACTCCCTACCCCTTAAAATGCCCTTTTTTCTCCTCTCTTATCAAGCTCAAGTCCGAAGAAAAGAAAACTCCTGGGAGGCCAGGCCAAGGGCAGTTCCCAGCAGGAAACAGGTACCTGCAGCGTCTGACCACTACTCGGTAAGGCTGTGGGCGGGAGAGGGCATGGACTCTAATGCTGCTGCAGAGTGAAGGGTTTATGGCCCAGGGACTCCCCACACAGACTACAGACTCCACAGGTTCCCAGAAATGACTGGTGACTTAAGGGTTTCCCCCGACCCACTGATGGGACCTTGGAGGCCAGCAACTTGTCAAAGTCACCCACCGTGTCTGAGGTCAGCAGAGAGCCCACCCCACAAAACTGCCCCCTCTCTGAGCATACTGGCAATCACCCAAACTGGCTTCACATCAGATGACATGTGACTCACCACCCTCCAGCCTGCTCCGAGACAGGCACCCGTCCGTGGGGACCAGGGGTCTGGTTTCTATTCTAAGCAGCTAGCGTGAGAGACAAGGGGCTGGTGATGTAAGGCCATGGCAATAGTCCCCGTGCAGCTGTCTAAGATCATTGCTTTGCCCAGGCCTCTCAGAGCCGGGGAGGGGGCGCCCAGCACTGACTGGCCCCATAAACTGAGCAAGGGGGACACCCCAGGCCTCCACCTATACCTCAGCTGCCCTGCTGCTCCGCTGCTGGACACACAGCAAGAGAAGCCATGAGTGGAAGGTCCCAGTCAAGAACGACATCTGTTTCCCAGTGTCCAGTGCTTGGATGGTCCCAGAAAAGGTTTCCAAGCAACGTCTCCTCCAAGTTGCTCTGTGAAGAATGGGAGCCCCGGATTTTAGTTGATG